GAACGATTGTCCAGCGACCATTAGATATTTTAATATACTGAATTGAAGAGCAATTTCCAATATTGGAATGAATAAACAAGTCTTTATAGGATGTACATTCTCGACTGATCGAAATCCGGAAAGATACTCTAATAACGGACGATATTCGAAGTGATTTGAAGACGATGGAACAAGAGAAGGAACAGTTGAATAGACGAATCGAGAAGATAGAACGTAAATTACGTTCAGTACCAAATGTTGAACGTTATTTGGAGTTGGCCAAAAAATGTCGACTGGAGAATGAGAAACAAGAGAAAATTGCCATTCATCGACAAGAACAACGCAATGCGGTCGGTTGATTGGTCTGTGTTGATGCGGTTAACAAACTTAATTTAATTTGTCTCAACTTCTGAATTTTAAATGAACTAAAGTGAAGAAAACAGAAAAATTCATTGTCGTATATCGAATAAAAGTTCAAATTGGACCATTACTTAGACACTTAAATGAATGTATCTTAATGGAACACTTCTTAATGAATCGACATTGCGATAAGTGAGATTGAATGTAAACAGACGATAGAGGTAAAAAAGTATGGATCGTTATCCTCAAGTGATTCGAATTCCGACTCGAAAATTCTCATTCTGAAATTCAACGGAAATAATCGATAACGACAGCCGAGTAATAGTGCTAGATAATAATGAGAAGAAGCGACCAAATAATCGCAGTGATATCCATCTCCGAGAGCGCATTAATCCTCAGCAACAATGCAACCAATTCTCTAATCTCTCAACACAATCCTCTATCACTCTCTGATAATTACTATCAGTAAAAATCGCCCTCAACAAGCCATCTAGCAACGAATCGATTCTATATCATATCGCTGTCATTTATATCCTTCAATAATACTTCTGAAAAGACATTCCTAAAAAGAATTCTGCAATATAAACACAGCCACTAAAACTGTCAATGTGATAAAACGAAATGAATTCACTTAATTTGATAATGTCATACGATAATTTATTCAATGAATAATTCGTTAACCTAATGAATTTCAGTTAGTGCATAACGAACAGAAACTGAAACGATTGAATACGACTCTAAAGGGTATTTTTTCAGCTAACGCTAATAATGACCCAACCGAGGCTATGAATCGTTTGAAGGTAAGCTCAATCTGCTCATCTAATCCGAAACGAATTGTATTTTCAGTTGATGTGATCATAGATCAATCACTCCGAAATCACTGCGTGTCACTATCATATTGATAATCGCTTTCATCTAAATTTAATTTGATCACCTACATTTGGAATTTACCTATTCATAACTGTATGAGCTGGAAAAATAGCAATTGAAACTCAAAAGTGATAACAGTTGAAAGAAACACGTACGAATGCATTCAGCTGAAACCATTAGGCGATTAGAGCATAAAGCTGACATCAGGACAAGTAAAATTATTCATTCTAAAAGCACATACACTTGTTTATCATTCAAATATATCCACTTATCAAACAAGTAGTGTAAAATGACTTTCAAAGCTAAAATTATTCAACCATTTATAATTCGAGCGAAAGTCAACCAAAATTCGCTCAAAAAAATCGAGACGAGAGCATTTTATCGTCATGACAAGTATCGCATTACAATTCATTGAGTCATTAAAGCACTCTTCAAAATGCTCAAAAACGCACGCAAACACAAAACCACCGATGAAGTCATTTTATCTTTTAACGTCTGGAATCATTTATTAGCATCCAGATATAGCATTAAATATGACTGTTTTTAGCCTCATTTGCTTGCATTAGATTGGACATACTACTTGAATATTTATGCTAGTGTTCAGGTTCAAAACAGCCGAGAGAGGCAAAATCATCAATAAACAGTCTAAAATACTCCCATTTGCACTACTAACCATTAAGATTTTTATTGTGACCAAGAAGGGGCAGAGAAAATAGTAAGGAATGAAATGATTGATGAAAAGTTGCACCTCTTCTTCTGGCTGTTTTTGTTCTGGTCGTATTGTCTTATTGGAACACATCTTAGCTCGTATTTATGCATTAACTATTGGATTGTTGGTTCGCATTTTGCTAGTGAGTACATCTCACTTACATTAGATATCAACGAATAAATCGATGAAAGTTTTTTGTTAAATGTTATTGTTATGTTTTATTTTGTTGGGTTGTGTTATGCGCATGATGAATGCAAAGAATAGCTTTATTTATTATTCATTCGGTTGTTCTTCATTCATCATCCACAAGCATTGATTTTCGTTTTGAAATCCTCTCAAAACCGAACTCCTTTCGATGCGAGACAATCATGTAACTGATGCAAAAAACGGTAATCACAAAACATGTTTCTCTTCCAAATTTGTGCATTCAATCAGCAATTACCATAACTCCAAGTGAGTTCGTTCACACCTCTCTGCACTGAATCATCAATAATATCAAAAAAAAAATCAGTCAGTACATTCGTCCTTCAATGGCATTTTTCCACCATACAGCCAACCATAATAGCACAAGATTGGTACCGATTCGATGAGAATTTGCAAGCAAATAATTAAGATGGATAATTCAGGAAGAGATCGAGACAACGCGCTATATGGTTGAGGAGAAGTTACCGAAGGAGATCGAATCGAAACGTGTCATAATCGCAGAGTTATCGAAAGTGGCTGATTTGCCAGCGATTGATCATAATGATATCAAAGAGCTGGAGAGCAAGGTTGATATCATATCAACTATCAATCGCACTTCAACTGATAATATAATTGGCACTTATCAATCCACTTTTGATATGATCTACCTGTAGATCAGTGGTTTTCAGCCTTTCCCCTTTAGTTCACAACATTTTATTACTTGTATCCTCAAGTTATACTAACCACACCATTGTTTCTCGGTGTCGTCAGATTCAGCAGATGCTCAGCTTTCAGAAAAGTATGCATATTGGCGAGCGATTTTACACACCCTCCTTACAAGGGAAGGTCACGAACTTACCCCCACGTTTTGGGATGAAATATATATCATATTGAAGATCTCGTCGAGCTGATCACGAATATGTAAAGCATTTTTGCGAAACACAAACGGGAAGTGAGATATGAAGGGGAAACGATTTGTTAGACAGATATAGCTCATTTAAGCTAGGTGTGCCATACAGCTGATTGTGAGCGATTTCGTTACTATAGGGCATGGTTTTCAACCTTTACCCCTCTCCTACCTCCCAGGAGAATTCAGGATGTCCTCGCAATGCCTACAGTTATACTTAAAATGTCTTCGCACCCCTCACAACATCCACTTTGCATATCTCATCTGCTACAGTGAGTGTCTGTAGCAGTGCTCTTCTCATAGGGGTGAAATTACCCATTTTGGGTAATTTGGAGGTGTGAAGGGGTAATAAAGGGAGTCGGGAAATCAGTATTTGGTACAGCTGTTATGTTTCGGTTGAAGCCATCGTGAAGGTGTTTTTTAACTTGGGTAGACTCTTCATTCTCCTATTTTCTGAGTATCGTCAGCTCGTCCAGGCCTAACAGGGTTTTCATT